CGCCGGGAGAAAGCTTTCCGAAGCTTTTCCCTATACTTTCAATTAAAAGCGGAAAAGCGCAGAGCTTTCCCTCGAAGTTCAAAAGGTCATGGAAATACCTTTCGGGAAAGCTCTCCGATTAGGAGCGCATAAGCGAAAGGAGGCAAGGGAGAAAGTCGAGAAAGCTTTTCCGAGTTAAAAAGGGCTGCCATTAGTTCGAGTGAGATGCCGTGAGAAATCGATACATTCACGTTTTACTACTGAAGCGCCATTCTCTTGCATGTACTGTAATGACATTTTTCTAGTTACAGAGTAGGATAGCTTCCACTATCGTGTTTTCTAGCATTTACAAGGAAATAGTAGAACTTTGGAAAGAAACTGTAAGGAAAATTTCAACATTTTTGGGTCATTTAAAAAGTTATCCGCTCCTGAAGGTTACAGGAAAACGATATGGACTTAATTTTAGTTCCAACCGTGGTTCTTAAAATCTCAACTCTTCTTTGCAGGGATTGATACTGGACCGAAACAGAATCGAAAGTGGATCAAAACCATTTTTATGCAAAATAGAGCACTAATTATAGAAGAAATGTCATTTGTATTTAACACTCGTAGAATATACAAATGTCCCACAATTAATTAATCCACAGATGAACACAAAGAATAATTAATCTAAAGAGCATCTTTGGTACCAGACTTGCCAGGTGTCATCATTAAGTGTAATTCTGTAGCCTACGAAAGTATAAATACATTAAAAAATTCGACTTTGGCTCCAAAAATTTGTTCGAAACTATTGCTTTGGTTCTCCTAAACTGTATAGTCCCTAATCTAAAGCAAAAATTCGGGTTTTAAAATAGTTCGCTCGATTTAAGTTAACTTACGTAGTCTACTAGAAATTTATCAAATAAAAATGGAATGGAATCCATACTACTTCTAGTATGTGGTCCTAAAAATCTTGTTCGTCGAAATTTTTGCTTTGGTTAAAATTCAGGTTCTAAAATTGATCCCCCGATTCTGTCTGCGTAGTCCACCAAAAACTTATTTAACAAACATTTGACTTTTGGATCCAAAAGGATGTTAGAACGTCTAGGATTAGGTACTGAAAATCTGATCGAAGCTGTTGCTTTGATTCTCTTAAACTGCAGTATTTAGTAAAGCAGAACTCGAAAAATAAACTCGTAATCTGATACAATCGAGTTGTTGCTGTAGTGATGAACGCTGCACCTGAGGTTTTGGACTCAGAAGTATAATAAATTAGAGCATCCTGCAGTTTTCTGGAAATTGGGTAATTGAGTATTTTGCATTTGAGTGTGGAAAAATACACTGCATTTGCTTTGGATGGACAGCAGACAAGCAGTGGTTTAGAGTTTGAAAGGAGTAGAGAGCCGGGGATGAACGGGATGGTGCAGAGAGGGTCTGTTTGAGAAGATGTCTAGGGGACGTCTTGGGGAAATGAGATCGTGGATGCTGTTTTCGGCGACTTGTAAGAGGCGATTTTCTCGGTGATGTTATTATTTATTGCAACGTGAAGCAACGTTGACTTAAACAAAATACTTGAGGTATTCCCGAAGCTGATTTGCATCCATTAATGATGGTTTGAAAGGTGCTATTTCAATGAAGGCGAAGAGTCTGCCCCAACCGATTAATTTTTTCAGGATCGCATCGAATTGATTTCATAAACTCGCGACCCTTAAGCTAAATCTGCAAATTGATAATTTTGTTGAAAATTGTCGTCTTAATCAAATGGTTCTCCTGAATTTGAAACAATTTATACGTTATTCAAGTTCAATACTCCTGTCCGAAAAGAATCTTGCAATCGCTCGACCATTTGTCACGAGTAGGTAAAAATAATTTAGCTTAGCAATCTGCGGGCTGATAAGAAGTTAATCTCGAACGATTCGTGCCAGTTTTGGTTGACATTATATTACCTTTATGCAATAATTGCAAATTAAACGGATTACCCTATGGTTTTTTTTTTTAATTCTCACCTACTTGGCAGTAAATGTGGCAATGTAAAGTTGCCGCAAATGACCATACAATCGAAATAAGATCCGAATAATACGAAACAAATTGTATTTATGCAACGAGCATACGTTTCGCACGAACTAGCTATAAATGTATGTAAGCACAAGATTTTCATTTCTTTTTTTGACATTTGGTTTGGAAAATAACCTTTGTAGCCTAGGTAACCATTTCTTAAGACGATTTCCAGAGACATAAAAATCCCTAAAGATGATAATGCGCCCCCATCATTCAATTTGCTAACTAGTAGAATCAAAACAAGTTTTACACCCTCCACACAAGGATTCCACCTCCCAATGAATCGGGGTTGATCTAGTGTATTTGTTTAGTCGCCTTTTACGACACGCAGTGCCTTCTGCGGTAGGAGTATTCTTTCCCGCCCCTACACGGGTAAACATTGGAAATACTCAAAGAAACTAAAGGCGAAATCGTTATCAAGAAAAATCCAACAAAGCTTTGCAATTAATGGTTACATTTCAATGTACAGAGTGGTTCAAATTCGTTACTCACCATTGGGATCTCCATAACAGTGTAGATTAAATGGGGACAACGTTGCCCCTTTTTGACTAAGAAACCACAGACATTTTTTATAAACCTTTGAAAATACTGAGGTGTCACCGAAAAAAAAAACTGAAAATTTCAAGTTTCACTTTCTTATTTCTTATGGGCGCCATATTAGATTTTTACGGAATGTGATAGAGGACAAAAACAGAAATTCGTTTGAACGAATCTCCATCACAGTCATCTTGATTCAGTAAGATATAGTTACCCGTGGATGTTAAATGAACTGAAAACTAAAACTGCACAACGGATTATTAAAAAACCGACGCTTTCTGAAATCTTCAAGTCAGCAGAAAGTTATTACAAAATAAGCGAATTTATTTCACGATGGAGTGATTTTATATCAGGATCTTTGGTTACAGCAGCATAGTATTTACTCTGTTCCAGCAATTACTTTCGGACTTATACAATTCCACCAGTCGTACAATTTATTCGAAAATTCGAGCCTTTAATTTCAACACCCCGTAGAGTTTCTGTGATATGCAGTGCCTAAACGGCTCTAAGCTCTAAGCTTTAATATCTCAAAAATTCTACTTTCATAAAATTCGAAAAAATTAATCCAAATTTGGAGCTACCGTTACAGTATCTAAAATGGACAGTCATCGTATACGGTGAAACAAAATTAAAATTTTGCAGCCGTTGTCACCTTTTTAATAATTTTTGGCTGGTTCTTATTAAGAAATATATCAATAAATAATTCATTCTGTCAAAAAGCAAAATACACATAAATTTTAGTGTCTTTCTTTAGTAACGAAGAGTCCCTAGCGATCTATGAAAAAAGCGACAAAATAAAATGAACTACCTTTCCTACTGATAAACGCTGTAAAAATTTTTTGTTGAAAATTCCACGAAACAACAGTTCCACAAAATGGTATTTTTTATTGCATGTAATTTTCTTGGGAAGAATTTGAAATTTTGCGATTCTTTTGGTCGATGGGCCAATTTTCCAAACGTTAAAAGAATAAGATAAAACCAAAGTAGTAAATTGTAGATGAATATACTAGGTACAGCTGGGTAGTAGGTTTGCTCTCTGATAGCATAGAATACACTATTCAGTTGCTCACAACTCCAAGTTTTGGTCGATTGACCCCTAAGATTTACTAAACATCTTTACTGTGTATTTAAATTCTATGTATCATTGTTGTCATAATGGTTTCCGGAAATCTTAGGCTCCAGTGAGTTTGAGATATAGGAGGAATTCTTATCTTAATAGAATTTGTGTTGCAAAGATCACAAGTAGTCTGCGATATAAAAATACAATTCTAGTGAGTCGATTTTTTAAGGACAGCCTAGACTCTCTAACACTCATGGAGTACAGTGATTGGATTTTAAAGAAAAATGATTGACTTCATTATTATGAGAAATTATCTAGATGATGCTCAAAATTCAATATGTGAGGATCCTAAATTTTTTTGGAAATTCGTCAATGCAAAGAAAAAGTGTTCTAGAATTCCTAGCAAAATGCACAACGGAAATGCTTTCTTTACTACACCCGAGTCGATAGTGAATGCTTTTAAGGATTATTTCGGTAGTATTTATACACCATGTCTACAAGATACATTTCCACCATGTGGTGGCACAGGTTCCATCAACATTTGTGCTCCAGAGTTGTCCGAACAGTGTGTACTGTCTGCAATTAACAAGCTAAAGAATAAAAACACTGCAGGATGTGATCAAATACCAAGTTTTTTAGTTAAAGACCTCTCAAGTGTACTTTATGTGCCGCTTACTATTATTTACAATTATTCACTAAAAACCTCTACTTTTCCAGACAAGTGGAAAGTCTCCAATGTTGTACCTGTGTTTAAAAGTGGAGATAAAGACGATGTGCGAAATTACAGACCGATTAGTTTAATCAATAATTTTGCTAAAGTATTTGAAATCATTTTATACTCTCATATATACTCATTAGTGAGGAGTCATATATCTGAAGTTCAACATGGGTTTATGATAAATCGCTCAACTGTATCTAACCTAGCATGTTTTACTCAATATGTGTCTAACATAATGAATGAACGTGGGCAAGTAGATGTAATCTATACGGACATAGCAAAGGCATTTGATTGCCTACCTCACGGTGTACTCATTATGAAACTACACCATTTAGGTTTTTCATATGATTTAATTCGTTTTTTTATTTCGTACCTCTGTAATAGGTCGCAACATGTTGTGTATAATAACTTCATTTCGCAGCCAATTTTTCCGAGCTCTGGAGTGCCCCAAGGCTCTAACCTTGGACCTTTATTGTTTCTATTATTTATGCACTGAAAGAAATTGCCAAATAGAATGTTTTAAGAACCCATGTATTAAAAAGAGAATATAAAAAAATTCTCATTTTTGCACCTGTAGTTCTTTTTTTTAGAAGGGTCTGTTTCACTTTAAGACTCAACTTATTGATGACGGCGTATTCTTATTTTAAGTTTGCGTATGCTGGAAATTAAGGATCCGTTCTTAAATAAAGTACGGCGGTTTTAAATCGTATTACTTATTCTTGTATTTATATTCTTGAGTCAGAAACCTCTGTTTGAAAAATAGAAAAGGGTTTCTTGTTCCAAGAATCGTCTTATGCGATAAGCGTAGGTGGGTACCTATTGTTGAAGTTAGTCAGCCATAATGAGCAGCAACAACAGCTTTGATGCATTTATTCCTATATTAGAAAATGATTCGCAATCTGAATTGTTTGAAAATATATTTGAGTGTACAATAAATAACACAAACAACGAATTTAACATAAGTGAAGTGCATGCATTACTGGCCAGTTGGGGTTTTAATGAAATCATTATTAAAAAGATATCAGGTAAGCGCACTAACGGTACGATATATTTGTCTCATGTTGCAATAACTTGTAGATGCTAAATTAAGCCTTTGGCACCTTTCGGTTATTGAGGATAGCGATATAGATGTGCTATTTCCTCTTAGCGAGCTTGCAGACCGAGTGAAGTTTAAAGCCTGCTTAAAGGGCTGGCGTCAAGGAAATAGTCATAGCAGGGTAAGAACTAATAAATAAATTATAAATTGAATACAAAGTACTGTATGTTTTAGGCATCAACTCCGTCGTGCACATCCTCTACGTCTACGTCATCGGTGGTAAATTCAGAGGAGGAGGGGGGACCCATTAAAGTAAGCATATTTAATATTTACCTATAAACTTATGAACGAAAATTTGACTAACTAACTAATAAGTTTTGGTGCATGTGATTATTACCTCTTTCAAGAGTTTCAAAAATTTTTTTGTTTTCGTTTTTTTCTTAGTTAACTTGTATCTCACAACACTGCACAAAGCCAAAACTTTTAAAAACTCAATCGTCTCTGGTTGTCCCTCCTCAGCGCAGCCGGAAGCGCTTCCTAGTTATTGGTCTTTCTTTAATTTAACATTTATAGAGTGTAGCAGAAATTTTAAAAGAATCCGTTAGAGGACAAAACATCCTACAAAAATTTTCGGAAATTGGCTCTCTTGCAGAAGAAGACAGAAAAGAAATAGTAAATATTATAGTCGAAGGGCATCTCTTCAGCCGCAAAAAAGGACTAGGGATTTTTCTTATTAATAAGTATGCTGAAGACATAGTGAAACAATTTCCTGGTGAGATTAAAGTAAGTGCGCGAAAATTAATTTCACACAACTAATTTTTCTGAAGCAAGAAACTTTTTGTTTTGCATTTTTTACCTGAGCATGACACTATATTTGTATGTATTAAATGAAATTGTTTTTTTATAATAGGACACATATTATGTACCAAGAAAACTCGGAGGACATCCAAAAGGCAAACTTTATGACAGAGTACGAAACTCCAAACATACGTTGACTAAAAAAGGTCTAATTAAAAATAACAAATCGCAGTCAGCAGCAGCTCAAGGTAACATAATTTGAAATCACGCAGGATAAGCAATGTTTTTAAATCTTTAGCGCCTAATACGCAACCTTCTACTCACTTACATTTAAATAACAAACAAGTTACGGAAGATGACAAAGAAATAAAGGCATGGCTAAAATATAATAAAGAAGACGATGATTGGGAAAATATTTTTAAGAAATGGCAAAGTACTTCCCATTTAAGGGTGCAAGAATGTCAACGACGCGTCTTTACAGAAATATTAGAAGATTGGCCACTGTATAAACACGCCACCAAAGGACATATATTGGTAGTAGTCCGAACCTTTTCAAGCTGTTTCTTAATGTTTAAATCTATTTTCAGATCGACTGTGACTTTGAACAAATTTTTCCCGGAAGATTAAATAAACTTTTCTATAAATGGCAAAACTTTGTAAAAGCAGCATTAGAAATCTACCCTTCCGCCATCAAAGACAAAAAAGGGATTGAACAGTTAACTGCAATAAGGAGAGATTCAGTTAATGAAGGTACGTTATAGAAACTAAAATATTTTCAAAATGTTTATTAACCCATCTGTTTTCTAGATTATAAGAATTACAAGTTAATTGAGCTGTTGCACTGTATATTGAAGCCCAGTTGTCGAATTAAAAAAGTTGACAAGAACATTTGGAAACCTAGCATTGTGGACTCGCAATTCAGTCAAGTGCAAGTAATCGCTTCAGTTGGAGATCTACAACGTAAGATAGCCGAAAGAAATGAAAAGTATCATAAGGTTGGACTAAAGGTTCAACCATTTATTATATTAATTCAGAATGACGGGATCAATTTCGAATATTATGTTTGGGTTGAATCAATGATTCATAAATTCGAAACGTTTTTAAAAGCGTTAGATTACTGTTTCAAAAATTTTCATTGTTTTAATTTTCAATACCCAAAAGAGTGTGAGCTTGTATGGACCTTTATTCAAAAGTTCTTTTTTGAAATTGATGCCGAGTATGACATTAATTGCCCCCAACTTTCAACAATAATAGCAACATTTAAAAATTTTGAGAAATAGGAATCTTTACTTAATAGATTTTAAGATGTTTATTTGTTACCTTTGCGACGAAAATTTTAATGAACCCGACCAGTTGCTTTCCCATATGAAGTTCTGCCACAATAAGCCATCTCTTTTCATTTGTAAGCAAGGTTGTTGTCCACAACAATTTACTAGGGCTTCCAAATTTAAAAGCCATTTGCAAACTCAGCACCGCATTTATTATATTATCTCTGAAACTAATAACAATACCAGTAATACTAATAATGACAGCGAAGAATTATTAGCTACGCAATTTCAGACGCCAGTCGTTTATAATTTATTAGAAAATGACTTGGACAAGCCTAGTCAAAGTAAAAGCATCAATGATCCAACTGGTGCCGCTATCAAAGATACCGATATTCATGTGTCTTGCGCTAAAAAGCTTAAAAATTCTGCACTTAAATTTACATTAGCTTTACATAATAAGTCTAACTTTAACCGTAATGATGTTCTAGATATTCAAAAACTTATCAGTAACACCATTATAGCAGATTTAGTAGATATATTAAAAGAAAACAAACATTCTGATAATAAATTATTCGAACAGATTTTAAATGATGTATGTGATTTGTTTGCATTTATAAAATCCGAGCACAAATTATTTAAATATTTGACCGATAATGATTTATTTAAATTTCCCTCAATGTACACTATAAATAATGAAATAGGTGAAGTTATCCACCATAATCGGCCCCTCCTAGGCGAAGAAAAAATTCAGGGCGTTATTATGCCTATGGCATTCCAGTTAAAAAAATATTTTGAACTCGATGGAATTTTTGCTCTTTATAAAGAAAATTTGCTTCAGTTAGAATCAAAATGTGTTCTAGAAAATTTTGTAAATGGAGAGCTATGGCAGAAAAAAAAATTGCAATTTGAAGAGAAGACTGTATTTCCTGTTTTTCTTTACTTTGACGATTTTGGCATTAATAACTGCTTAGGTCCCCATGCAACTTCGTTGTGTGGTGCTTACTTTTCAATTCCTATTGCTCCTTATCAGTTTCTGTCTAAACTTCAACACATATTTTTAGCAGGATTATTTAAAAGTAAGGACCTAAAAAATTTTGGCAACAGTAATGTTTTATATAAACTTATCCAAGAATTCAGTTTGCTGGAAAAAGAAGGAATCGAAATTCAATTGCAAGCGGGAACAACACAAAGAATTTATTTTATAGTATCTTTAATTATTGGCGATAATTTAGGGCTTAACGGAATATTGGGATTTTCTAAGTCTTTTAGTTGCACATTTTATTGTAGACTTTGTAAGCGTTCAATTGAACAAATGCGAAGTGATTGTACAGAATACAAAGATGCATTCAGAAACGTGAAAAACTATGAACACGATTTAAAAATTGTTCTCGAAAGTGCAAGAGTTAAACAGAGTGGTATAAAAGAGAATTCTATTTTTAATACTCTTCCTAGTTTTCATGTCACCCAAAATTTTTCTTTCGACATTATGCACGATCTACTAGAAGGAGTTTGTCATTATGACTTGTGCAAGTCACTTTTATATTTTATTGAAAAAAAGGTGTTTACCCTCGACATTTTTAACTGCCGAGTCCGCCTGTTTAACTACCAAGAAATTTACATTGGGAGCAGGTCTTCACCAGTGGATATGCATGACTTACAAACAAATCGTCTTAAAATGACCGCTTCTGAAATGTTAGTCTTTTGTCATCTATTCCCGTTATTTATTGGAGATCTAGTAAAAAATTATCAAAGTCCTCGTTTGAGATCGAAGGGACTTCAGCGCATTTTTGTGTGGCAGATCAGTATTCTATTAGCCACTTTCGACTCAACCATCAATAACAGATCTTGTCGAAGGCTACTACATTCACTAACCGCTTCCCACTTTCCCCGTGCACCCGCAATTCGCTTTTAAAGATTTGACTCCACCATCAGGAAGATCGTGTCGGGGGCTACCACATTTCCTTTGACGGTACCCCCTTCCGACGTCCCGTTCGCCCGCAATTCGCGATTGAAGATTTGACACCACCATCAGTGAGATCGTGTCGCGGGCTACCACATTCCCTTTTACGGTACCCACTTCCGACGCCCCGTTCACCCGCAATTCGCGTTTGAAGATTTGACTCCACCATCAGGAAGATCGTGTCGGGGGCTACCACATTCCCTTTGACGGTACCCCTTCCGACGTCCCGTTCACCCGCAATTCGCGATTGAAGATTTGACTCCACCATCAGTGAGATCGTGTCGCGGGCTACCACATTCCCTTTTACCGTACCCACTTCCGACGTCCCG